CCTTTGGTTTGTGGAAAATCTCACTTCATTTGGTGATTTTAATGTCTGTAATTTACCTGAGCATCCTAATGTGTATACTAAGAGCATATCTCAAATGGATCCACAAAATAATCAAAAATGTTAAGTGACTTCATGAAAACTTCTTGAATATATTATTTCAGTAAAAGTATTACATTGCAAGCATCAATTCAAAGTGTCCTCATTGTCACAACCACATATAAGTATTACATGACGGACACATGTCAGTCACTTCACATGAGCAAGTAAGGCTCACATCTTGCCTACTTGATTAGGCAAAGAGTAAAAACTTCAAAACTGATTATAAAAAAAAGTTTAAAATAAACAGAGTAATTTAAAAACAGAGCTTCTAAAGCACAGATTTCCCCCCACCCCCACATTTTTTGGTCCTTAAAATGCTTTGGTGTAGAACTGAACTAGAACTAATTTCTATGCATCTCACCTCAATCTACTGTTGCTAATTCCAAAACATCATTTCAGAACTATAATAATATAACTCATGCAGTTATGAGAGAGAAGAAAGAGGGAGTGAGTAAGCATGTGTGAATTATTTGAATTTGCACAGCTTGACAGCATTACTAATAGTGAAGCCACATGTTTAACTACTTAAAGAATAGTGACGTTAACACTTCTCTTCTGAGTAGGCCTGATTCCTGCCAGCTATAGAAGAGTGGGCTGGCAGATATGTTGGGTGGTCAAGATTTTTTAATCAAAGTTTTTAAACTTTGATGCTATGTCTATAGCTTTACAAACAGGCAGATAGACAGACAGAGAGACAGACAGATAGATATATAGATGCCACTCACAAACCCACTGTGTGATTGAGAGCCTCTACTTTTCAAAGTCAGAAAAGCTAATAAAACTACAAAAAATATAGCACTTTTCTGGTGTTATTTTAATGATTGGGGCAGTATTCAGCCCTTCCCCAAAATTCTCATCAAATAGCCCATCTCAGATTGCTTTTAATGCAAAAATCGTTAAATAAATTAATATTAATGCTGTCTTTGTTTAGAAGTTCTGATTGGATAGGAAAGATATTTGGGTGGGCTCATGGCCAGATCCCATAGACAGATAGCTCAACCGCTCAGCTATCTATCTATGACATCTGGTCTTGTTTCTGAGAAATGTCATGTTTTCCAGTAGTGAAAAAAATGTATTGATGAAATAGCATGGGCAGAGCTGATAAGTTTCTGTGCGTGAGTCTGTGGGAGAGGGCAGGAGTAAGATCATTTTGTTTAAATCAGTGTAGTTAGATCAGTGTCTTTGTGGTGTTGGATTCTTTTGCTGTACTAGGGTGCAAAGCTCGTCGAAGTAACTGAAACAATTTGGCAAACTGGTAATGTGGTCAAGACCCTCCTGGACCCACTTTGGCCATGCAGTTACAGAAGAAGAAAAAAAAGCAGTTTAGGATGTCTGTCAGCTAATCAGAATCAATCATTTTAGAGCTGTTTTTTATTTTTTAAGAATGCTTAATTGCTATGTGCTGATTAAGGGGACTTACAACATCATGTCTTTCAGCCATCATTACTCCATGAACTAACAAGAAGGAAGGAGAAATCGGTCTGCATCAGGTTGTCCTTGTTTATTTAGTCTTTCTGGAAGGACATTAATACCTGTTATGACACTTCATAACAGTTGTATTATGAACTGTAAAATATTCAAATACCAAATTGCATGCATACATGCTTCATCCTTCGCATATCTTTTCATCACTGTGTTGCTTATGCTGCAAGAAAAGCATACCTCGTGAGCAACTCAACGTCTCCACCCACCTTTCAGGTATATTTATACAGTGTTTTGTCAGTAAGAGCTCACTGATTGTCTTCATGATGACCATTATCTCTCTGCTCCTGCTGGCCTCTCTGCTGCCACACCTGACCTTCACTGGTGAGACTGATTATATAACAGCATTTATTATGATGTTTAATTGGTATGTATCGAATAAACTGACTAACAGCACTATCTCTTTCTCAGCTCATGTGAATGTGGGAATAGTGAATGGCACAGAAGTAAAACCCCACTCCAGACCTTACATGGTTTCTCTTCAGAAGGACAAGACACATGTCTGTGGTGGATTCCTCATCTCTGATGAGTTTGTCTTGACTGCTGCACATTGCTGGAATGGGTAAGAGTTTTGTTTAGTCTGAACTGTGTTTCATGTGTTAAAATCATTTTGGCTGACATAACACACTTGCAGTGCAACCAGTGCTTAATTTGTAAATGAATATTTCCCGGAACAAAATCAGCAATTAAAAGCTGCTGTGACCGACATCGACCATACAACTTAAATTTTCCCGGAACATACAGTGACGTCACAAAACAGTGATAGCGCAACTATAAGAACATCATTCACAAAAAAAGAAAAAGATAAGGAACATCATTCACAAGTTTCTGAACGAACTTGTGTATTATTCCTTAACATATATACACGGCCTATGATTTTTTTATATGTGTAGCTGATATGATTATTATAAAATAATCAGGAAAGTAAGAAAGTAATGTAAAGTAAACAAATTAAATCACTTACATTGTCTAATCTTCAAGAAGAGCCCACAGTGCATTGAAACCCTTCTTGTCAACCTCCTCCCACCTGTGGACTTTGCTGCGTGTGTCAGTCGCATATCGGTGTCCTTTAGCAATCCAAGATCTAACGTACGTTTCTGGTTTAAATTTGCACAGTGGTGGTCCAACAAGGCATAGAAATAGCAGGGTTGAAATTGTCTTTATGTTAAGAGAGGCGCGGCTTGATGTGCATATCAAATTCATATTAGAGAAGCCCCGTTCGCATTCTGCGCTGGAGATGGGAATTGTATTGATGCACTTAAAAAGGTCGTTGAGTTCATTTGAGACCTGTTGTCCATTACTGTCCTTATACTCTCTGTAAGCACGCAATACAACTCTGGGAGTGTCGATTCGAAAACGCTCGCAAAGGGACTCAACTTCACTTTCCCCGAATAACGGCCCGGTGTTTTCAGGCCAGTATTGGGGGTACAGCACTTTCAGTTCATCAATCATCCTGCTGTATGAGTGAGTGACGTGACATGTGGCCAAGTATGGTTACCCATACTAGGAATTAGTGCTCTGCATTTAACCCATCCTTAGTGCACACAAACAGCAGTGAACACGCACACACCGTGAACTTGGAAGCAGTTCTCTTGTATTGCCCTCTGGCTTACTGCTGTGTGTCGCCCAGGCTGATCTGACATAGCATCAAACACTCGCATTTGTCGTACAATTGATTTGTGCGCATCAATTATCTCTTTTTTGCATTCACTTTTTTGGAGTTCAACTGATAGTTCTGAAAGTTCTTGAAGAGCGTCAAACATGAGTCCCAAATTGTTAATGAAAACATGAGAAGATATTCGCGTGATGAGACCAGTGTAGGTGCTCCGAGTCACACTGTCACGTGAGGCATCAGCAGCTGCTTCGCTGAAGTGCTTATAGAGAGCGGGGTAATTGTTCTACACAGCCTCGACAGTTCTGAAGCTTGATGCGACCCACCAAGTGTCTAGAATTCTCCAAATTTTGTGCAGCTGGATGTCTAGGCTTTCTGCACACTCTTTCAGCTCCATTCTATTTTTGTTTGATGTGTGATAGAGCTAGTAAAGTTTATTCATGAGGATTTTGAAATGATCAATTGCTCCAATTGCTTTGAGCGTATCACTCACAGCAAGCTCGAGTCTATGTGCTGTACAATGCCAGCCGGTGTCACCAGGGAACAGGGCCTGCATTCTAGCTACTACCCCACTTTTACGTCCAAACATCACTGAGGCTCCATCAGTTGTTATGGCAATCAGCTGCTTGTAGAGGAATTCCTTTGTAAAGTTGCATCTCTCTAGACTGGACAGTAGGCTGTGAACAATTCCCTCGGCACTTAAATCATCCAGTTCCACTAGATCAACAAATATATCAGCAGGCATGTCCATGTCTTGTAACTGCAGTCTCATGTAAATGATAACGGCACTTTTCTTGCTTAGACTTGTTGCCTCGTCAATAATAAGGCTAATTTTGGGGGCACTTTGCACAATTTTTTCGAACAATTTACATCATTTCAGTTGAGATGTGTTCCTGAATACTGGCGCATGCTACATTAGAATGTAAGATACGCCCCATATCGATGCCATTTAACTCCTGGCAGTCAATTTCGTGTTCGAATCCATGGGCAGGTCTATTGCATTTTGCCTCTTTGTACGGTGTTCGAAATACTCTAGCAGTCGTTTCGATCTGTTCAGACTGTGCGTTAACAACACTCCGTTTAAGTGTATTCTGACTGGCCTTCTGCAAAATGCCTTCTGCTGCCATATGTGATTTAGTACGAAGTACTTTTTTACGAAGTGACCGTTGCTGTTTTGTTTTACCTGGAGTCGTGGATGTCACCGCACAATTCACCCACTCAGATGCTAATTTCATCCCAACCGTTGGTCAGGTCCAAGCGACCCCACACTCTGACAGGTGCGACAGCCCAGTTTTTGATTTTGCATAATCAACCACGGATATACAACTTGTTTGTTCTTAAACTGTTCTTGAGACCAAATATCGTTCATTTGATCGATGGAATTTTTTGACACCGACAACGATGTTGATGCCTCTTCCATTAGGCCTATTTCTGACTGACTCGCTTTGCTTCTGTCCCTCGCTGTCCTCATCCAGGGCTGCGGTTCTATCTTCTTTCCTCATCTCTTTTCATCAGGCACACCATCAGCTTTGCTCGTGGTTGTAGATTTAAAAAATGAAAATATGTTTAACTGTCTCTTCGACATTTTGACAATAATAATTATTTCGTTAAGACAATATACCCTTCTCTCTTTCCGCACATGTTAATGCCGGATCGTTTAAAACAAATACCGGAACGCAAAACACGAAAATCTGACATTTTCCGGAACAGGATCCGACTCAAATTAAGCACTGAGTGCAACCATATATGTCATAAATGAGCAGCATCATGACTCAACCCAGCACAAAATGCTTTTTCAACAGAAATGAGATTCTGACAGTTGTGGTTGGTGCTCATGATTTAAGGAACAGTAAGAGTTCTGATCACATCGGAGTGAAGAACTGCATCCCACATGAGAACTCTGATCTGAATGACATCATGCTTTTAAGGGTAACCAACTGTAATGCTTTTAGTTATTCAAAATAGTGATCAGTACATATAAAACTAGTGATTCCTGATCAGATTCTAATCATCACTACCACAAATCACCTTGACCATCAGGGCTTCTGTACTAACCTCAAAATAGCAGTGTAATCAACTGCAGTTCGATCTTATAAAAGATTATTAAACCTCTTTATTAATAGTGGTTGTGTTTTTGAATTACAGCTACAGAGAAAACTCAACCTAAATAACTACGTTAAATGGATATCATTACCAAAGGTTGGGGAAGATGTCGAAGCAGATACTATCTGTAGCGTTGCGGGCTGGGGACAACTGCAGACTAACGGCCAAAACAGCAATCGTCTAATGGAGGCAAGCGTGTATATATTGAATAACAGAGAATGTGAAAAAAAATGGGGACCAATCTACTCAGTCTCAAAGATGATGTGCACACGTGGCCATGGTGGATCCTGCTTTGTACGTACAAAAGATGATTCACAGAATTGATTATGTTAATTTATGAACTGAGTGTCGACAGATACAGTATTTGGCATTTTAGTGATGTGCTGATCTGGGTTTCTTCACAGTATTCCTCAGGAGGTCCTTTGGTTTGTGGAGACACTGCAGTTGGCATCACAGCTTTTGGATATAGATTACAGTGCAATTCACCTCAGTATCCTAATGTGTACACTAAGATTTCACCATATCTTCAATGGATCAGCCGCATAATTAGAAATGTGAAGCGAGTTAAGTTCTTGAATTCCTCTGCATACACTGAAAAAAATAATATGCTATATGATTTACGTAAAAATATAGTGCATCATTTTTGCATCCCTCTTCTTAAGTAAATTTCACATGGAATTTTAAGCAGCGTTACTTAAAAATCTTTAGTTGGCAATGCTTAAATATTTGAGTATCCCAATGAATGGTTTTGCTCAAATTTATTAGCTGGTGTAACACAATATTTTAAGTAGATTTTACTAATAAATTTCTAAAGTCATTTCTACAATAAAAGTCTTGTTTACCCCATTATAAAATTTAAGCTCATTTAGATTGATAATTTTAAGTTTTTGTATTTTAAAATACCTAGGTACTGCTCAGTACTTAAAATGAGTTATACAATGAGTGGAAGACATAACTGGTGAATATTAAATGACTTCTTTATTTTCTTTTTTTTACAAATGCAACTTCAAAATCTCTTAAAACATTTTTGAAAATGACTAAAAATACAGATTACTGAACAACAGTAAACATTCTGTAACAAATAACTAAGCATCAACATGCTTTTTTCAATATTTGTGGTGTTGTATGCTTGTGTGTGTGTGGTATAGAGTGGAGTATGTTGTTTACATAATGTTTGTGGTGTTGTATGCTTGTGTGTGTGTGGTATAGAGTGGAGTATGTTGTTTACATAATGTTTGTGGTGTTGTATATATACAGTATATATATGTGTGTGTGTGTGTGTGTGTGTGTGTATGCCATTCTACAGAACTGGTGCAAATTCAGGCTTGTATGAGTTTTGAATTTTTCTTTTCAAATTTATTTGTAAATTTGTATTGCATTGCATGTGAAATGCATAAATTGAATGTGGGTACACTAGAATCTTTGTATGTTTTTCACAATTTCAGCAAATTTTAAAGTGCCCCTATTATGCTATTTGGAAGGTTCATAATTTGGTTTTTGGAGTCCACAACAACAGGTTTACATGCATACAAGGTCAAAAAAAAAAAGAAGTTTTTTTTTTATAATATGCATTTAATTTTACGTTATTTCTCATGTTGTTTACATAATGTTTGTGGTGTTGTATGCTTGTGTGTTTGAGTGCAGTGAAGTGCTGAGTATGTAATGTGTGGTGTTGTATGCTTGTTGACTTGCATGTGTGAGTTTTGCAATGTTCTGTGGCATTAAAAATGCATTAACAAGACACTTAAGTATTTAAATACCATAATTATCCAAAATCATGTGTGACCGTACGGTTGATATGTCTGTAAAGTACATCATATAACATATATATTGCCATACATCTATATATATTAAATATAATTTTTTAATTGCATGTGAAATGCATAAATTGAATGTGGGTACACTAGAATCTTTGTATGTTTTTCACAATTTCAGCAAATTTTAAAGTGCCCCTATTATGCTATTTGGAAGGTTCATAATTTGGTTTTTGGAGTCCACAACAACAGGTTTACATGCATACAAGGTCAAAAAAAAAAAGAAGTTTTTTTTTTATAATATGCATTTAATTTTACGTTATTTCTCAACGACTCTCAAATGGACCCTTTTCACAAGACTGTGATGATGCGTTTCAGCGGTCATCAGCATCGTAAATCCTCGAAAGTTTTATATATTTAGATTTTTTTTTTTAAATGTATGTACATTTATAACAATAAACTTTGTATTATATCACATTTGCATCAAATTATTTTACAAAAAATAGTTAACGCTAATGCGAGGGTGTTTCTATTGCAGCATCTATGGGAGGGACGGTAAATTTGACATTAGTCTCTGTCATTAGTCTGTCAATTTTTTTCCTTTTTTGAAAGTCATTTTTCTTTCGCTATTTGAGCAAAAAGGAATGCAAAAAAATATATCTGTGGTACTCTCCCATTCACTGCTCTCGAAGTTTACCCAACTATGACGACTTTTGCTGCTGAGAAATCTGTAAATGTGAAAAAGGTCTATGATTCGTTCGAAGATTCATCTTTCCAGACCCCTCCTTTGCATGAGGCTATTCTGCTCTGATTGGTCAGATGACCCAGTCTGTTGTGATTGGTCTACTGCGTACAATGCATGTCAGAACACCCATTCTATTATGACAATGATAGTGCTTCACTCTGTTCTAAATATAAATAATCAGAGGGGAAAAAGTTGTTTTACACTTATGTCAGTGAACCGGAACCACAGCTTAGTAAAGACCCAAACAATATGGTAATATGCGTTAGCCGAACCCAGCCATGGAGTACTGGTAAAGCACTGCAGTTTGTAAACCAACATATTGCTCCACCCTTTATCATGACTCCAAGTAATAAGAACTACAGACATTCTATATTAACGAACACATTTCTAGACAATAGCAGGCCCACAGCTGATTAGCAGAACTATAACGTGAGTTAGCCGGAGACCTACAGCTGCACTGAGTGTATACACAACACACAAAACTACATGTTTTGCATGCTCGACAGAACATTAAAGAAACAATTATTAATCATACTTACAGGTCGTTATTCGGAGGAGCAAGCTGGTCCAAACAAACTGGGCTCTGACCCATCTTTCAAAGACAACCGGTTTACGAATCCTGCATTGAACTCAACGGAGGTTGGGGAAGCAGCCGTAAGTGAAATGACAGGAACAAAACAAGAGGTTGTGATTATACTGCTGTGGTATCGTAGTAAAGATTCATTTTAACCACTGATTCTTCACAGCCTCATCCTTTGGAAGTGAATATAAAGTGAATCCACTTTCACAGTGCAGAGCACAGCATCTTCTCAACATTACGTTATCCACATGAATGAGCTACAGCGTTTGAGGGGGTTAAAGGGTTAGTTCACCTATATATATATATATATATATATATATAATGCACAGAAGCAGAAGTTATATAGTGATTACGGGCTTAAAGGGCACACTGAGCTTTCATTTGAGGGTATTTTCATCAAAATTAGAGGAAAGGTTAAGGAATTACAGATCTTTAATATGTACCTCCCCCCTTTTTCAAGGGACCATAAGTAATTGGACAAATGACTCAAAAGTTTTTCATGGACTGGCGTGGGCTATTCTTTCGTTATTTCTCAATTAAGCAGGTAAAAGGTCTGGAGTGTGCCATTTGCATTTGGAAGCTGTTGCTGTGAACCCACATCATGCAGTCAAAGGAGCTCTGCATGCAGGTGAAACCAGTTGTTAGGCTTCAAAAACAAAATAAATTCATCAGAGTTTGGTACATTCTGAGAAAAAAAAAAGAATGCACTGGTGAGCTCAGCGACATAAAAAAGGCATGGATGTCCACGGAGGACAACAGTGGTGGATGATCGGAGGATGGTAAAGAAAAACCCTTTCACAACATCCCGCCAAGAGAAGAACACTCTCCAGGAGGTAGCTGTGTCACTGTCAAAGTCTAAAATCAATAGAAGACTTAACGAGAGCAAATACAGAGGGTTCACCACAAGGTGCAAACAAGGCCAGATTAGACTTTGCCAAAATCTAAAAATCCAGACCACTTCTGGAAAAGCATTCTTTGGACAGCTGAAATTAAGATCAACCTGTACCAGAATGACGGGAAGAAAAACGTATGGAGAAGGCTTGGAACAGCTCATGACCCAAAGCCTACACCATCATCTGTGAAACATGGTGGAGCAGTGTGATGGCAAGAGCATGCATGGCTTCCAGTGGCACTGGGTTACTGGTGTTTAGTGATGATGTGACAGAAGATAGAAGCAGCCGGAAGAATTCTGAAGTGTATATGGATATAATGTCTGTCAAATGGACGATGACCCAAAACAAACAGCAAAAGCAACCCAGGTTTTGAACGTAAAAAAAGTGGAATATTCTGCAATGGCCAAGTCAATCACCGCTTCATAGTACAAATGGACAATGACCCAAAACATACAACAAAAACAACCCAGGAGTTTTTGAAGGTAAAAAAAGTGGAATATTCTGCAATGGCCAAGCCCATCTCCTGATCTCAACCCGATTGAGCATGCATTTCACTTGCTGAAGACAAAACTAAAGGCAAAAGACCCACAAACAAACAACAACTGAAGTCAGCTGCAGTAAAGGCCTGGAAAAGCATCACAAAGGAGGAAACCCAATCTCTGGTGATGTCCATGAATTCCAGACTTAAGGCAGTCATTGCCTGCAAAGGATTCTCAACAAAATATTAAAAATGAACGTTTTGTTTATGATTATATTTATTTGTCCAATTTGAGCCCCTGAAAATGGGGGGACTGTGTATAAAAATGGTTGTAATTTCTTAGCATGTATGTATGTATATATATATATATGTGTGTGTGTTTGTGTGTAGCCGTTCAGAAAGTACTTCAGAAAGTTTGGGATCAGTAGGATTTTTAAGGTTTTTTAATGGACTCTCTTATGCTCATCATTTGATCATTTATTTATTAAAAATACAGAAAAACTGTGATTTTGAGAAATATTATTGCAATTTAAAATGACAGTTTTCTATTTTAATATACTTTAAAATAGAATTTATTCCTGTAAAACAAAGCTGAATTTTCAGCATCATTACTCCAGTACTGTCTGACACAGAAGAGAAGAAATTGTTGAATAAAGTCATTATTTTTGTTTTCTTTGTGTACAAAAAGTATTCTCGTAGCTTTATCAAATTAACCCTTGATATCTCATGGACTATTTTATTGACGTCCTTCTGGGCCTTGAACGTGTCAGTTGTGTTGCTGTCTACGGAGGGTCAGAGCTAATATTCTAGTAATATGCATGGTAATAAGCAACTAGTTAAGAGACCCTAAAATAAAGTGTTATGTGCTTTATAAGTACTAATAAACAGCCAATATGTTATTAATAGTCATGCTAATAAGCAACTAGTTAATACTGAGAATTTGTTACTATACTAAACTGTTACCGAATTTTCATTTTTGAGTGATCTCTTTAAATGGTGATGGTAAAAACATGAATTGGAGTGAAGAGGATGCCATTTTATTTTTATCTTTACAGTTCACCAAAAAGTCCATTCAGGAAAAACTTGATAGTACAGTCTGCAATAATAGGAGGATGCGTAACGTTAAAGCCATTGTGTAAACAGGTCACATGATGCCTTTGTCCAGTCAATTACATTGATGCTTCACATATGCAAATAAGAACGTTAACCCAGGCTTTAGGAATTATGTTCAGTGTGAAATGCAAGCATTTAAACCCACAATTAATTGTTAAACTCAAGTAAAATATGAGCATTTTGAAAAGTGAAACCAAAAAACCCAGTTTACCCGGAGTTTAGAATGACCCAGAGTTCATTTTTCCAGAGTTATTTTAAATGTGAAAAGCCCAAAATCCAATTTTGATTAACTTTACGTTTTCACATCGCCTTCTATTTCATCTGTCAGTTTTAAGGTGCAAAGCACATTTTCATCATTCATATTTATGCTCATAATAATACATGCAGTAACACTTTACTTGAAGGGGTGTGCATAAGACTGACATGACACCTTCATAATCATGACATGACACATCATGAATATGAAGGAGGTTTTTATGCATGTTTATGACAACTGCCATTAAGTGTCATTCGCTCAGTTATGTAATTTTTAATGCAAATATGACATTATTTGACCTAACCCTACCCCTACCCTTACCCCTAACCATAGCCCATAACAAAGACATCTCAAACAATGTCATCTTTGCATTAAAAATTACATAACTGAGCGAATGACACTTAATGACAGTTGTCATAAACATGCATAAAAAACCTTCATATTCATGACATGTGTCATGTCATGATTATGTAGGTGTCATGTCATGATTATGAAGGTGTCATGTCAGTCTTATGCACACCCCTTCAAGTAAAGTGTAACCATACATGCTTAATTCTTATCGCCCAAACCATCTGTGGCTTAAATGTGTGACCGCAAGGATTAACAAGAACAATGCTCGCTCATGTTACAAGACTTTTTATTTTTTATTTTTAAAGAGTAGGTAGCTCAATGTCTCCGCCCACCTTTAAAGTATATTTATACAGTGTTTTGTCAGTAAGAGCTCACTGATTGTCTTCATCATGACCATCATCTTTCTGCTCCTGCTGGCCTCTCTGCTGCCACACCTGACCTTCACTGGTGAGACTGATTGTGTAAGAATTCTAAGAGTATTTCATTGGTATGTGCTGAATAAGCTCACTTATAACACTATCTCTCTCTCAGCTCATGTGAATGTGGGTATAATTTTATATAGCTGTGAATTACAGCTATATAAAAAGATAAATCTAAACAATCATGTTAACTCGATACCATTACCAACGAAAGGAGAAGATGTTACAGCAAATCGTTTCTGTAGTGTTACGGGCTGGGGAAGACACTGAGTACCCATCTAAAGGAGGCAAACGTGTTTATAGAAAATCATGCAGAGTGTCACCATAGATGGGGAAATGAGTACATAGACTCACAGATGATCTGTGTCTATGGCAGTGGTGGATCCTGCGAAGTACGTACAAAAGATGATTCACAGACTTTATGGTAATGTATGAACTGGTTTCACGAATGACATGCTGATCTGTGTTTCCTCAGTATGATTCAGGAGGTCCTCTGGTTTGTGGAAACACTGCAGTTGGTATCACATCTTTTGGTGACATTTCTCACTGTAATTCACCTGTGAAACCTAATGTGTATACCAAGATTTCAGCTTTTCTTTCATGGATCCAACAAACCATCAGAAATGTTAAGTGACTTCATGGAAAATAAAAAAAAGGGAAGAAAATGTTGTTTTCTTGAATTCTCCCATAAACCTTCTTTCAATAAAAGTATCACATGGCAAGCATCAATCAGTCGTAGTATCCTCATTGTCACCACATATAACTATAATATTACATGGGACACACATCCAAAGTCATTTCCCATTAGTTAACTTGGTTGCCATCCATATACATACACATACGTGTAGATGTATCTATCTATCTATCTATCTATGCGCCATGGCGAATTCATGTCCATTATACATGTAGGCATTTTTATATTTATGTAGCCTACACAATCATAATCTTTTACATTGTAATCCTTTAATTTTTAATATTTGGCATGTTTGTGTGCTGCTGCGTGTCTCTGTGTGTGTTAATAAGCAGAGTGTACGCACGTTGTGGTCCCGCCTATAGGTGCATATAATTAACGCACTCTTTAAATAACAAAAAAAAATTAAAAATACTGCGCCATTGACTTTAGACCTAAAGTCTAGGCCGCATTGCGCCAGGTGTATGATAGGGCCCAAAGTATGTGTTTCTCCAGTAGAGTATGTGTTTCAATTATCCAGCTACCGATGGCACACAGGCATGTGGTAACATAACCAGAAAGACCACCAGTGCACCAACATCTGCAAATGTTGGTTTTTAAATAAAGCAGTGTATAGTCTTATCACTTCTAGACCAATCCTCGACCAAAGGCTCTACTCTTCAGCACAATGGTAAAACCCTCAAAATGCAGCGATAACAGAAATCCTTTTAAAACCAAACATAACAGAACATTAAAGATTAACAATGCACCTCCTAATATAACCTTAGGCAAAATAACAGTAAATTTCAGCATTCACTTCTAGAGAAGCAAAGCATACTGGGAATTAGAAACTATATTGACAGAATGGTACACATACAAATCACATCTTAATTTGGGTTTTCTGAGCAACAAATGCATAGTATGCAAATAGTACAGATTACTATATTTTTACAATTAAAATCAACTAATTGTTTGTACATTAAGTCAACTAAAAAGTGCGAGATACGAGCCAACCAAGTATAGCATGTCACTTCTCAGACATTTCAAGACGCGACAAATGGTTTGGTTCAATCGACGAAAACAAGCGCCGATCATCACCAACATGGGTAATGTGCTGATCAGACAAAACCCGACCAACTGTTACTTTGGTTGGTGTCTTTTAATGCAGTGTGAATTGACCTTCAGAGATCTAACCACAGGTAGCGTTAGCCAGTTTGACTAAGCTCTTAAATGATTTCTCACACCTAACATAATTTACAAGAAATATTATCAATTACATCATACATGGGGGAGAATAGTCTACTTCCATTAAGACCACAAACCTAACACCTATCTTTTCCACCTCAGTGCAAAATGAAAGCCACATCAAGCTGTGATAGAGGAAGTATGAGTGCTACTGGGGGGCTAAACCAGCCCACTTTGCATTAAATACCACCATCAACACCAGTGAGATCTTCAGCACTCCTGAGAAACCTTCCAAGTACAGCATCATGATCATCTCCGTGCTTTTGGTAGTCACCATGCTACCATATCTGATTATTCCAGGTAAGAAAATGATGGAAAAGAACTGACTTCTCTTACATTATGTCTTCTACATTTATCATAAATATGGTATCTTAATGTTCATTTTATGCAATGTTAGCACTATGCTCTGTAAGTTGATCTGAAAGAACATTAGGTCAAGTCTACTTCTCACTTAACCAGCCTAAACTAATTTTTCTCTCTGTTAGCATCTGTGCAAGTGGGTATAGTGAACGGCACAGAAGCCAAACCTCATTCAAGACCCTACATGGTTTCGATTCAAAGAAATAAAAAACACATATGTGGTGGCTTCCTTGTGTCTGAACAGTTTGTCATGACAGCTGCACACTGCTTCCAAAAGTAAGTTTTTTTTTGGTCAGTTACAATTTCACTGTGAGTCAAAGAGAGTCCCATACTGCTGCAAAAAGGTCCTCACTTGATGTGACTTCTTTGGAAATGACACAACGTATAATAGTACCCAACCAAATGGGTCTGCGACTCCTACAGTCTCAAAAATAACGGTTCTTTATTGGCATTGATGGGAACCTTTATCATCCATGGAACATTTCCATTGCACAAAGGGTTCTTTAGATTATTAAAATGGTCTTCACACTAAGAAAAATGGCTCTTTTAAGAAGTGTTAACTGAAAGGTTCTTTGGGGAACTAAAAATGGCTCTTCAGTGGCATCACTTTTGGAATGCAGTGTAGGAAGTCCAACAAATATTGTTTTTACTTAAAGCAAAGTTTGTTTTCTTCTTCATCTTGACAGCGGAGAGAAGCTGGCAGTTGTGGTTGGAGCTCATGATTACACTCATGGCTCTGGTTGCATGGGTGTGAAATTCTACCACATCCACCCTGGGTATGAGCCTAAAAGTCTGCTAAATGACATCATGCTACTTCAGGTAAATGACTCAGCTAGGTTTTGCAGAGCAAACTGCAATAAAGCAATAGTGTTTTAATTCTACGCTAAACAAAATTTTGAGGAAAAGAAAAGTGAATGTCCTACACTCCCTTAGGCCTTGTTCACATTACACACAAATCTGATTTGGTTTCAAATCTGATATTAAGAACTGACTAGTGAGTTCATTTTGCAAATCATTAAATACTTTAATTCATACATTGTTTCCCATACTAACAAAGTGATAAAAAGCTACCAGAAACCTGATTGTTCAGACTGAGACACACTGTCAGTTTGAATTTGAATTGGATTTCACACCACATTTGGATGTGACTTGGATTGGGAATGTGGAAACATTATTGGTTTTGTCTTTTGTTTGTTGTAATTACAAGATTTAAGATTAGATATGCCACAAAATAAGATTTTTTTATCAACAAAGCCTTAGAGATCTGATCCTATATGCTGTAAACCGAACAATATTTACAATATTTAATTACTATTAATAATTTTGTACTGTTTTCATGTTTCAATTGTTTTAAAGCATATATATAACAATTGTAAAAATAGTAACATACCTAGTAATCCAATTATCCTCATAAGTAAACAAAATGTAAAAGCAAAAAAGTTGGTCATCCAATTTGTATACATTTTTGAAAATGATCCGCATTAATGGTTGAATTACTTGCTGTAGCTATGTGGAAAAGTCAAAAAGAGCAAGACCGTCAACTGGATCTCCATACCAAAGAAAGATAAGGACATCAAGGCCAAGGTCAAATGCAGTGTTGCAGGATGGGGGAAGAAAAACAACAGTGATACAGCAAGTGCTAAGCTTATGGAGGTGGACGTCACTATCATTGACAAAAAAAAATGTCAGAAGTACTGGGAAAAAGATTACTCCACCTCACGTATGGTTTGTGCAGGTGGTCGTGGAGGATTTTGCCAGGTACAAATCATATTCTGGACAAATCACAAATAGTGTGACAGTTCAATTTTATTCACGCCCTGCACTTTCATGACTTTTCTCAGGGGGATTCTGGAGGACCTTTGGTGTGCAATAATGTTGCAGTAGGTGTCATTTCATTCAATGAGAAAAACAACTGTGACTCACCTAATCGACCGAATGTCTACACCAAGATTTCCAAATTTCTAAAATGGATAAATGCTATTCTTGAAGGTGTGAAGTAAGAACCTGATCAATAAACTTCAACAATGCAGTCTGCTTATGTGTGTGAATTTTTCGAGCTCATTTCATAATTAATTAATTGAATAAATCTTGATTGATGTGACAAGCTCCAAAAGCTTTTCTGTGAAAAGATGGTGTCAACCGTTCTCAGCAGGCCTGGTTTCCTGTGGGGGCCGAGCTCATTGCATGTGGTCAGACACCCTGTGAGAAAGTCTAGTCTAGAGAAAGTCTAGTTTGCAGACACATATTAAAAAGAAATTGAGGCAAAGTCAAAGTCTACTCACCATAGATTTAAAAATAAATCAAGTTGTGAGCTAACAGTCCTAAGTGAATATGCATAAAATATTAAGTCTGTAAAAACTAATTGAAAAAAAAAAAACTGTTTCCCAAAACATTGTTCTCATATGCTATTGGTCAGGCAGCTCTGCCCAAACTAACACCATTGATTGACTATGATTATGACTTATGACTATGACATATGACTATGACTATGACTGACTGTTGCTATGCTAGGCTGGTCAGGGTTTTCAACCAAGTGAGCAATGTTTTTTTACAAACAGAACCACAGTGTTTGTACCTATCAGGAAAATCCACCTAAAAATGTACCATTTATAGAGTTTAATGGAAAATTCACCCAAAAATAAATGTCATCATTTACTGACCCTCATGACTTTATTTTTCTGTGGAAATTGTCTATACGATGGACATTGTCAGTGGGGTCCAGTGTTGATTTTGGACTGCATTGACTTTCATTGTATGGAAAAACACAGTTTTTAATATATCTTATTTTGTGTTCCACAGAAGAAATAAATACAGGTTTAGAATGGCATGAGGGTGAGTAAATGATGACAATTTTCATTTTTGGGTGAATTAACAGGAATCTTTGTTTTAACCTAATTTTCAGACGTTACATTTAATTAACAGAAGAAACATCCAGGAAATGCTGTGGTTTGCTGTGTAAAGGGAGGCTTGCCCTTTTACATTGAGTAGTTTAAAAGTCAGTGACACATTTTCAATGTTCCACAAGCACAATGACAGGCTTCACTGCGATTCTGTTCACCACAGCAGTGACCACACGGCACATCACCGGTATAGCTTCTTTCATTAGTAATTCTTAACCTTTACACATTGCATTTGTGCCGTTAAAGGGACTATCGTTTGAGTTTATAGTCATTTCTGTCTTTTTCTCAATAGTTGTGGTTGGAGATGACATAATCAATGGGAAAAAAAGCTTCAAAAAATTCCTTGCAAAACATGGTCTCAGTGCAGGACAATAAAAAAAACATGAATGTGGAGGATTTCTGATATATCCTCAATACGTGCTCACAGCTGCACACTGTGACAGCAGTGACCACACGGCA